TGTATTTAATAGAATGAGAATTTGACTTTGATTGTTGGATACAATGAATGAGAAACTAGCAGAAGAGAACAATTTTGGTGATAACAGCTGTAAGAGTGATTATAACAGCTCGGAAAAGAATGAAAACCGTGTTAAAACGCTCAGAAAAGAAGAGAATGAAGAGTGCTGCCATCACCTAATCGCATTTACATATCCGTGTTAAAAAACACTCTCACAATGCAGTTCTATCATAAAATAACAACTGCACGAAATACTAATTTCCCGATCTCCTCCATTACCTCTTCACACCTCCAAATTATCCAAAATGGGTAATTCCACCCTCTATGAGAACCACTGTTCTAGATAATACTATCAAAGAGATCAGCTGCAGATTAGAAAATAAATTCAAGGTGATGATCGCCGATTACCACAATATCCGGACGTATACCTCATTTAATTACAGTTGGATATAACAGTGGCTGAAAGAGATCCGGTTGTGAAAGATATCGCAAAAAAATGGTTCGGTGTTAAGGAAAACAACCGATACAGAATCTTTATCAAGGACGGGGTGACCGTATTGAAAGAACGAATGCAACAGAGTGAGTTATTACTAGTACTGTTGCATACGCCAGCTTTTATCGGTCGCGTAAGCAAGTTTTGAGAATTTCCACACGAATTTTGAACATCTCACTTATTACTCTGAACCTGTCAAATTGCATTAAACTTCCAATTTGTTGCTTTCAGTCCAAAAATCCACATAAACTGTTTTATTTAATAGCTATAGATCAGCATAACTTATTTGATAGTCACTTCATCGATATATTTATAAACATTTCAAAAATTCAGTTGCATTGGGGGAAAAATACTGAAAATGAACGTGTAGCTTGTCGCTGAATTTGAGGATAGTTATCATTAAGCGATCGAAATTATCGGGTTTAGTCGTCAACTTTGTGGAAGGTATACCATGTGGTAATGCGCACTTTCAGATCAAAACTTCGACGTGGTGATCTTAGATTCGTGCTATTTCGGTTATGAGGACGCAATATGCTGCCCAACAAAGCCGTACTTAGACGAATCAAATATAAGACTTATCAGAGATACATTATCACCGAACGGTAAGCTTACGTTGCAGTCGGTTTCACTGTTCAGATACACACCCCGGAGGTTATAGCATGCACAGTTATTGAGAAAAATCATTTTATTGAGAACGATGCCTGTTTACATTGAGTGAGAATTATCACGTTCAATCAGTTTGAAAAAAGATTAGTTTTAATGAAGGAAGTATATGGCTACTGGCTCTGTGGACATATCATATCACACAATTTCCATATGCATTTGACTCATTCGCATAATCGAATCGAGACTCTTAATGAGACGAATTTACAGGCATAATGGCAGCAAATATGTATGCATTACGTGATCATGACGAGAGCTTTAAAACGGTAAACTGCATTTCTTTTTGATGATTACTAGCCTATCGAATGATACATATGTGGTGGAATCACTTGAAATTGAAGTTATAGAAAAGTAGTGACATTACAGGTGATCAACGCATACAAGAACGTCTTCGAAACATGTCTTGTGCTTGACGTTATGCTCGAAGCAAACAAGGTGCTACTTTTTTAATATGTTGATACCGTCTCACATGATGCTCTCATTTGCTCTTCGTTCCATTTTTACTCAATTCGCCTGATCATCCATGTGGTTGCTCGATGTTTTGGGAAATCTTTCGATTGAAAAAAGCTAAATCACGCTACAAGATGAAGGCTACGATGCTGTGTACCTGACATGAAATTGACTTGATGAAATCTGACTTGAAATCGACTTGATGGAAGCTCTTTATAAACTATCCCTCCTTATCCTAGCCGAAGATCCTGAAAAATTAATTTCTTTGTGTCGCATCATCGATCACACAGAACTATATGTATGAAGTGTTTCAGATTCTCGTTTGTTACAAGCGTAAAATCGAGCATGAAGATAAGGAGAAGGAGAAGATTGATAAGGCTATTGAAAATATCAAAGTTCAGTTTTCACTCGACTTCTGGGACAAATACTGAGGAGAGGTGATCGTAGATCGACTTGATAATCAAACAAGATCCATCTGCAATACTAATCATGAAAACTACTGCTGACTCAACAGTAACGCAATATTCATGATGTCCATTCGTAATGTGTCAAAGAATTGTTAATTATTTATTGACTGTGCTGTCTGTGCCTTAATTGCATCAAGTCCTCATATTTCTCATAGAAATTTGATTCGATAGTTACTTCAGCTTTCGATCCGTTGTCAAATTTATGAACCAATCTTTAAAATTGATTCTTTATGTGATGAAAATAAATTTATTCGTTATCATCTGCCAAATGTTGTTGATTCACAGAAAATAGTCGAAAATAGCCGCACCATGCATAAATCATCTCAAACAATTATCACAATAAAAATGAATCATTATTTTTGCTTGTTTCTCATCAGCGGTAAATGAAATGACCACATCATATGACCCGAAGGTGTTTATGAAGACGATCACATTGTTGAACAATAGGTGATAGTAAATAATCAAGACATAATTTGTTTCAAATTTGATAATCAAATAAGATTAAAGAACCAATTCGAAATCGATCGGCAATGTTCCACTGACCTCTATAATTGAACGCATAAATTTTTTGTTGAGTCGTTTCGTCAGATTTATTATTATCTAAAGACGCAATTAATTTATTATTATCTAACGCAAATCCTTTGGACTAAGATCATAACACACTGAAAGTCTGTTCGTAATCTGTGAACTATACATAAAGATCCATTGGTGATGTGGAATTCATGGTGATTTTAAATGCCTTTAGACGGAATTGATCATCTTCCAAAGCGCAGATCATGTGGAATGAAGATTCATCCTCTCATCGTTATTTTTTGAAACTGACCATACGGTCCCTTTCGGAAAGATAAGATGTTCTGTTCTGGTTTTTATGAATAATGTAGTTGCCCACTTGAAGTGAATCACAA